CCTCCTCCTCCTCCGCCTGCGCCTCCGCCTCCGCCTCCTCCTCCTCCTCCTCCTCCTCCTCCTCGTCCTCCTCCTCCTGGGAAGGACAGCAGGAGTGATGTCTTACGCAAACCACGATGAAGCTTTGCCGTCCCCGGGGGGCTGCGATCAGCGAGATTGTCTTTACGTCCGTGGGCTCCTGGGGCGCTCAGTAGAGCGACGTCTTACGCGGAGTGCCACAAAACCTCGTAGTCCTCTGGGGGCTGCGATCTGCGAAACTGTCGCCACGTTCGCGGGCTCCTGGGGGGTCCACCACAGGTGTGTCTTACGCAGACCACCATGCAACCTTGCCGTCCCCGGGGGGCTACGATCCGCGAAGCCGTGGCCACTTTCGCGGGCTACTGCAAGCCCAGCAGGGTGACAACTTACGCAGAACACCATGAGACCTCGCCGTCCTTGGGGGGCTGCGATTTGTGAAACTATCGCCACTTCCACGGGCTCTTGGAAAATCCAAATGAATGATATCTAACGCACGCCATCGTGAGACCTCGCCATCCCTAGGGGGCCGCCATCCGTGAAAGTGTCGCCGTGTCCGCGGGTTCCTGGAAGACCCAGCAAGCTGACGTGTTACGCATACCACCATAAGACCTCCTTGGGCGGCTGCGGCCCACGAACCTTGCCAATTTCCGGGGCTCCCGGGAAACCTTGCAGAACGACGTCTTACGCAACCCGCCATTGAGACCTCGCCGTCCCTGCGGGGCTGCGGTCTGCGAAACGGTCGCCGCTTTCGTGAGCTCCTGGGAGGCGCAGCAGAATGACGTTTACGCACACGACCGCGATGCCGCGCCGTCCATAGGGGGGTCGCGATCCGCGAAAGTGTCGCCGTGTCCGCGGGTTCCTGGGAGGCCCAGCAGAGTGGCGTCTTACGGAAGCGACCATGAAACCTCGCCGTCCCCGGGGGTGCTGTGATCTGCGAAGCTGTCGCCACTGCCGTGGGCCCCTAAGCCTCTCGGGGGCTCCACCGAGGCTCATCCTCATCGAGCCGCAGACCCCTGCACCGTTCGGTTTTCGTAAGCACAAGGTGACGCGGACAGTCTCGTAGATCTCGCACGCCAAGGTGCTCACGTCGACGGCTTGCAAGTGCCCGACCATGAACGCGGGCGTCATCGTCGACGCTGGGCATAAAGACGTCGACGATTTGGACTCCTTTTGGTTGCGCCTCCATGTCATGCTCTCCATAGCGACGACGTCAAACAACCTCCTCGCCCTACGCGCCCCAGGCTTGGGCTTTTAGTCGCGGGGGCCGCCGGCAGACCTCGCCGTCCGCCTTCGGACTTTCAGTGCCCGAGGGGAGAACTGCAGGAAGCAGTCCACGAAATTGGCTCACGCGCTCGGTCTTCTGAAGGTGGGAGAGCCGCAGGCGTTCTTTGGACGCAACCTTGTCGGCACCGCCGGCCGCGCTTGCAACGAGAGAAGACCAATTGACTAAGAGAGGGCGCGCGCCTACATGGCGCGTAGCGTTGCCCCCGTCATTCAGGGCACTGAAGCGGCACAGAGCGCATTGCATTGTCCTCAGTCGCCCACTCACCGGCCCTCTTCAGGCGCCTTTCGCCCCCTACGGCACCACTGGCGAACCTAGCAGATGTAGCGCATGGCGCTGTTCCCCTCGCCAGTATATCTTTCCCTTCGTTCTCCATCCCCACCTTGTCCTCCCCCTTCCTTCCTCCTCCTCCTCCTCCTCCTCCTCCTCCTTCTCCACTCCTGTCCCCCGTTCTGTGTTGCGCAGGTGTGGGGCGTGGCCTGGCATCGTCTCGCGACTCTTCCCCGAGCTCGACATATCTACATCTATACATGTATGTTGCTATTATTATGGACTCCGCTATGCATCAAATGCTGCCTCGCAGTTCCTGTGAAGGCCGATGGAACTAGTGTACATAAGTGCTGCAAAGGTTGTTGAAATGAACTGGCATTTTCATGCATGACCCGATGCTCTCCACAGTTCGGGAGAAACTGGAATCGTGCAATATGGTGAACAGCGTGAACACTTTGGATAAGCCTGGGGGGGGAAGGGAGGCGGTCGGCGAGGACGAGGTCGACCAGCAGCGAAGGTGCAGGAGCGGGAGGAGACGGAGGCAAATCGTATCTACTTCTACAGGTTGCTGCCAGGAGGAGATTGCAGAGCAACGTGCTTGTCGGCTTTACTGACAGTCATGATCCTCATGGGTGATTCGCAACAACGCGCGCAGCTGACCCGAGGCGCTGAAACTGAGGACAGCGGGAACAAGACGATCGTCGGACGATCACCGGCAACAACAGCAGTAGAGGAGCTGGATGAAAGACGCAGGAACCTTCTAGGCTGGTTCTCCTGTCCCTCCTCCGTCTGCTCCTTCTCCTCCTTCTCCTCTGTCTCATCCTCCACATCCTTCACAACGACGATAACTGCCTGCAAGGGCAGATGATCGCCATGGCCAGACCTAAGCTCATGGGCTTGTGGAGGACGAAGAGAGGAGAACGGAGAGGAAGAACTCCTCCCTCTTTCTCCTCCCCCCCTTCGTCCTCTGCATTTTCCTCCTCACCCTCATCCTCGACAAGGACTGGCCGAGTCAAGCTGACCCGCGGTGTGACCCGACCGGGATGGACTGAAGCGAGCACGCACCGAACCGAGTCGAACTCAAACCGAGCCGCGGCCAAGGAAGGGGGAACAAAAAGAAATAATCTTGAGGACTCGTCGCGGAAAGACCTCGACAGGGGCCCTCTGAGCGTCACCTCGAGCACCCAGCCATCTAAGCAGATAGGGTCATTTCAAGCCACCAAGTCAAGTCAAGTCTGGTTGAGAAGCCTAAAGAGACACCTCGCTCCGCAAGCGGAGCCGAAGGGTGTGAGACACTACGGCAAACAAGCGCGCATGCATGGCAGGAATGGCGGGTACGGAATTACCCAAGTGAGCATATATCACAAGTTCTGGTTCGCAGAAGCGAAAAGCTGTTCTGCTTCGCGGAACCTCCTCCTCCTCCTACAGCTCGTCCTCCTGCTCATCCGTCCTGCGCCCTGTTTCCGTTCTCCTTCCTCCTACCTCTGTGAATAAACGCAAGCTCCTTCTGCTCCACCAGGAGCAGCAACTTGGTCCGGTTCACGATGCCGACCAGGCGGCCATCGGCGTCCACGACAGGGTACGCGCTGCGTGCATGCTATCATTATCCAGACCCCCTCTCTACCATAACCATGCTTCGCTCGGGGGCTGGATGCACTGACCATCTACCTCAACTTCCTAATTCCCCGTATCATCGTGTCTGTCTCAATACCTCGCTGCGAGGTTTGCCGCATATCTGCCTGGCTGCCAGATCACTGCTGTTGCTGTACGCTTGCCTGCGCGCCTGCTGCACAACATACTGTAGTGCGGCAGGGGCCGCATTATTCCAAATTGTCGTAGTGCTAAACATGGGTGGTTTTGAGGTTTGGGTACTGCCAGAAGAGCTTACAGCAAATTCCAGGACTCCAGATGCAGGCCAAACGGATTTGGCCATGAACGCCATCCCGACGCCTGCTTCCGACTCGGACACCTCGCAACACCTGATCACATTGCCACTCCCCCCACACCGTTGCACCCCGCTACCCCATGAGCCCACCCACAGAGTGGGAGGCACCCAGCTGCTACACTCGCAGGACGAGCGCCCTACGCCGATGGGTACTTCCATGGCAACGGGTCCAGAGACACAGACTAGAGCACTCTCAGGAGTGTGAACTGGCTTCGCCGCCAATGACGCCTAATTCGCGATCCGACCAGACGTCACGCATTGCACTTTGAAAACATCACCGATGCATACACCCATTCAATGCTCATCGCAAACCGGATTCGCAAAAGAAAGGATCCCAATGCCAGCTCCTGAATGACGTTTGCAACAGCAGTTGCATCACCTTCTCCAGTGGCTCGAATGACCTCAGAACGATCACCTCCGTGGAGGCGACGTCGTGAACGGTCAGTCCTCTGGCGAAGCGAAGGACAGCATGCGGGTAACGAGCATAAGACAAGCATTGACAGGCTTGAATGCTCCTCAGACTCTGGTATGCGTCCGCTGGGGCTCTCCCAGAAACGCCCGCGCCGGATACTGAGATTCCCGCTCGGCCCGAACCGTCTGAGGGCCCCCCACCCAAGAATGGGGAGCAGCAGCAGCAGGAGCGGGAGGAAGAGAACGATGCCGACGCGAAGGCAGCGGCCTCGTATTGATCTGACCGCGGGCCAAGCCCCTGCTGCTATCAAATCTCCACGACATGCGCAAATCGTGGTCACGAGATGGAGGCCCACGTCGAAGGCCATGACTTCTGCAACATGCGCGGAACGAGCGCTCTGCAAGCGACCCCTGGCCTAGCGTCCGTCCCTCTCTGGGCCATGAGGAAACCAATCGATAAAAATACTGCTAATTACTCCCAGGCCTCTCCCAGGGTGCTCCGTTGCTAGAATTCGAAGCGAATCCAACCGTTGTGACAAGGGCCTCCCAGAAGGGCTAACAAGGCGAGAACGCGGAAAAACTACGGGTATCGGTAACCCTGCGCCCCTGATAATTACACCCGGTGAAGGATACTTCGGCCATCCAGGGGGATAACACAATTTGTCCCCGGCATCTCGCATGTACGGATGAGCAATGTAACTGCGGATGCACGGTGTGCGTAGTGTAATGGCACGAGTCGTCGTCGTAGTAGTAGTAGTAGTAATAGTAGTAGTAGTAGTAGTAGTAGTAGTAGTAGTAGTAGTAGTAGTAGTAGCTAGTAGTAGTAGTAGTAGTAGTAGTAGCAGCAGTAGTAGTAGTAGTAGTCGTAGTAGTAGTAGTAGTAGTAGTAGTAGTAGTAGTAGAAGTAATGTAATAGTACAGCAATAAACATATTATTGTAATACTAGTGGAGGTGGTCGTAGAAATAGCAGTAGCAATAGTCGAGTAGTAGTTGTTGCAATGGTAGTAGTCGTAGTAGTCGTAGTCGCAGTAGTAATCGTGATGAAAAACAACTAATGATAATAATAATAATAGGAGTAGTAGTGGCAGTAACAGTGTAGTCGTAGTAGTAATAGAAGTAGTGGTAGTAGTAGTAGTAGTCGTCGTCGTCGTCGTCGTCGTCGTCGTCGTCGTCGTAGTAGTAGTAGTAGTAGTAGTAGTAGTAGTAGTAGTAGTAGTAGTAGTAGTAGTAGTAGTAGTAGTAGTAGTAGTAGTAGTAGTAGTCGTAGTAGTAGTAGTAGTAGTAGTAGTAGTAGTAGTAGTAGTAGTAGTTAGTAGTAGTAGTAGTAGTAGTAGTAGTAGTAGTAGTAGTAGTAGTAGTAGTAGTAGTAGTAGTAGTAGTAGTAGTAGTAGTAATAGTACTCGTCGTACTCGTACTCGTACTCGTACTACTAGTAGTAGTAGTAGTAGTAGTAGTAGTAGTAGAAGTAGTAGTTGTAGTAGTAGTAGTAGCAGTAGTAGTAGTAGTAGTAGTAGTAGTAGTAATAGGAGTAGTTGTAGCAGTAGAGATAGTAGTAGTCGTCGTAGTAGTAGTAGTGGTAGTAGTGGTCGTAGTAGTGGTTGAAGTCGTAGTAGAACTAGTGGTAGCAGGAGTGGTCGTAGCAGTAGTGACGGTAGTAGTGGTAGTAGTGGTAGTAGCCGTAGTAGTAGTGGTAGCAGAAGTAATCGAAGTAGCCGTAGTAGTAGTAGTAGTAGTAGTAGTAGTAGTAGTAGTAGTAGTAGT